TGTGATCAGGCATTGTCATAAATCTTTTGCCTGGAAAATTTAAGGAGTTATTATTATGTACGTTTAGATGATACAACAGGTAGGATACTTTTGCACGTTACTGTATTATAAACTCTTAATTTAGAAACGTCAATCTGGATATTAAAGTCACCCGTGTTGATAACATCTGTACGAGATTAAAAGAAAGAGAGAATGTTTGTAAATAACAGACAACGTCATATTGTAGTAGCACGATATCAATCCTGTTCTACGTCCAAATACATATACTATTACGCTAACTTGACATATACAGTGTGTACAAAAATAAAAATCAAAAAAATTCTATGTCGCAGTTCAAAATTATGAAAATAGCTTGTTCGAAAGCTGAAACCCACAGATTTTATTAATAATGAATTATTAATTAATTCTTTCTTCGTTTTTCTCGATTACACTGACAACGTCTAGAAATCGAAGTTTACAAGATTAATTACAATACTGTCTGAAATTTTTTGCCACTCCTCCTTCATAATCCTCAATTTTTCGGCTATTCTCTTGCAGGTAGTCCAACTAAATGCTTGGAATCATTGTCTCTTCAGTTTTTGATATTGTCATAGATGGTGCTGATGATTTTTTTGGCCATTGTTCCACAACAATAATATTGTGCTTCTTTCTTCTTTGCAGGAGCTTTTTGCTTGAAACAGTCTTTGGTTTCTTTTGTGGGAGACTCTTCTTCTTCAATGGTTTCTGTTGTTGCTTTGGCTTTGGCTTTTTCTTTTCTCTTGGTGGTGGGTTTGCGGGACGCTTGCCTAAGACCTATAGCAATGAAATTTTGATTAATATTATGTGTAAATATTTTAAAAATTAACGAAATGTCCTGATTAAATAATAGAATAGTAATAACCTTAGGCCCTTCTATATTCTACAGCTGATGCCGTACGTGCAGTTAATTTGTTGAATCCTGCATAGTCGTTGTTGAGCAACTTTTCATTTCTTTTAGTTGCTTTTGTAGCTCGTCTCTCATTTTTCTTTGAGAGCAGTTTGGACCGTTTTAATTTTTTTCGGAAATTTCTCACATTAGCAGGAACGAAAATTTGCCTTTAATATTAACAGCATAATTGGAAGAAATCACGTTTGTCCAACTTTATTCGATCCAGTGTTAAAAGAGATTCTATCCAAAATTAGATGGTGATCGGCCATTCTATCGTTGAAGAGTTGTTGAAATTGCTGGAGAATTGTTGCAATGTGTTGAGCACTAATATTCATATCAAATAAAATAATACAATCGGTAGTGAAATCAATTAAAATTTATCGTCTACAATTATTAAGCAGCTGAGAACGAGTATGAGGAATTCCTTAATTAGACGCGTCGAATCATCTCGCCCTTTTATAATAAATACACTTTTTCGACTAAGGATTATTATTAGTTGTTGTTCTAATAATAGTTCTGTTCTTGTGCGTCGTTGTTGCTGAACGGAAGTATCTATTGCCGAATAGGCTAGCTTACGGAAGTTGGATTAATATCTGAAGTTAGCGGATGCTGGAGTATCAGACCAGACAAAGAAATTGTTCTACAGACTGTTGAGGTCGCAACTTCTTATCGCAACCATTGTTATATGTTACACATTAAATGCCATCACTGACACAAAGTGATGAACATATTCCTTTAACTAATACAGTCAACCCTCTCTATAGTCACGCTGTCGGGAACAATGCAACTTTTGTTGAAAATGTGCTTATAAAGAGGTTGTGACTATATAGAGGGTTTTTTCTATAAGTTCAATAGTAATTGGTTCTCAAACATGGCGTGCTTATAAAGAGGTTTTTATATGATGTGCTTATAGAGGGGGTGACTATAAAGAGGGTTGACTGTACTAAGGGAAACTGACGTGAACGAAAGGTTAGGGATTGATGTATTCTTATATAAAGTATCTAAATAAGCGTTATTCCGTCTTTTGAAAGCGTGTCAAACTGGAAATTCTGACATAACTCTGATGAGTTTGTTGATTCTAATATATAGTTTATATTGATTTTTGAAGGGGAAGAAGGCTTTTTCGGGGGTTGCTTATTTCAAAACTGTACGGCAGATGCTATAGGTCATTTTACACATATAGATGTTTGAAATCTCATTTTTGTTGTCTAAATAAACATATACAAAAATCAGTTATAATAATATGTAAATGTATGATTAATTTTCTTATTTACTTAATACATCAGACGTGGTTAAATTTCGGTGAGATTTGGATTAACTATAACCTATAAACTTATAGTAACTGTCTCAAACCTACTATAAGATGTTCGCGTTTTTAGAATTGCTAATTAAAATGAAATCGAAAAATATAATTTTTGCCTGTATATATAGTCTGTTAATGTAAAATAGCTTTTACACTTACTTCTTGTCAACTTACTCAAAATTTATTCATAAAATTATGTTTAAATCTAAAAGGAAACTAATCATTGCAAGTTATGATATTAGTCTTGAACTTTTAAAACCCTTTAAGAACAAAATTGATAAATTAATTTGCAATGTTTACCCACATAGATAACAATGTAATGATAAGTTAATTCAAATACATAGCATTATGTGATTTTATTTTGGAACAACACTGGAACTAAATGCTTGTACAAATTCATTCACTTGAGAAGCATTAAGATTCACTCACCTGTTCTAGCGGAACTGTTAAATTGCGACTTGCGTTTTACCTTCGTAAATAGATGATATCCTATCACCATTCTTGGATCGGGGCACATGAAAATGTCTTATCGTTATAGAATTCAGGCTTTGCCCCCTGAAGTTCTTGCTCACTCCGGTTCGTGCCTAGCTGCAGTTTGCCCTTTCGGATGCACGAGGAAAAGCACGCAAGCTGTTTCCATATCTTGTTAGCATAACGCGACTTATGTGTGTCTTATGTAGCGAGCGAGGGGGTTCCTTATCAATAGACTGATTAGCCCCCCCACTCACCCCTATTTCACACGTAAGCATGTGATGAGTGAAAGAACCTTTTTTGATTGGTCGACATAGCAGCTATTAGATTTTTAGTGGATCAAATGTTGTGCACGGAAAAATCAGCCGATACGGTCGTACTAATTACGTAAATACGTAATTGTTATGTAAGACGAGCACATCCTAACTTCCCCTACCAAAACAACTTGATTATTACGAAGCGGTCCCACCCTGCGTTTTTCTTTGTTGAATAGCGAGGTAAAAGCTTTCGCTTCAAGCATATTGTCCAAAAATACGTAGATGTTCTGTGTGTTACTTAAAAGAACGTGTTAAACGACTGAAAGACTCTTGGCAATATCAGTCGCTCTCCAACGTAAGCAGTAAATATCAATATGTCACACCAGTCACCCCACACCCCCGTACTCGAAACACCAAAGTATAGCAAAACGTATCTATACCCGAAAGCCACCAACATATATCATTATTATGCAAATGCTTACGCGTTTGCTGAAATGGTCACTAAGCAGGCCTGGAAACTACCTAAACAGCAGATTCTAGACGACGCAAACAAAGCCTGGCTTAATGTACGCAATTATGACCGTCATAGGATTTACGACGAGATAAACAAATTATTGAACACTCCTATCCCTCCGAGTCCTCCTTACTCGCACGAGTCCGCCGCGCCAGCCGGCTCAACCGAGTCGCCGGCCATGGTCTCCAGCAGCCCGAATGCTGACGCACTCACTCAACAACAACTGCAGCAGGCAGTCACACCCAATTCCCAAACTGGTCAACATCTGTCGATATCCATGCAAGAACATCAGAATTTAGATCATCAGATGACTTCTACACCGAGACGGCAACAACAGCTACATCAACCGCAGACGCCACAACAATCTGCGCAATCGAGTGATCGAACTCGTCCCCCGACAGATTCAGAACGCGCGTCTTCAGTATCTGATCGTTATTCTACTCCCTTATCAACTCCAACATCTAAAAATGCCGCAGCTCAAAAACAGGCTCTCCAGGATATCGAAGAAGCTACGCGCAAAGCGGAAGAATACAAGTCTCTTGTTACGATGACTACCGATGAGGATCTCGCCAAAGATTTGTATGTAAAAATACAACAAGCCGAGGCAACAATTCTCGAAAATCAAAAGAGATTAAAGCGATTGAAGAGTGGTGCCGAGGCGCAGGAACGTTTCAGACAGAAACGAAGAAAAAAGACTGAAGATTTGTCTTCTGGCACTACTGAACAACCATTCGAGATGCCCGAACCGCTGTTGGATACAGGTAGCAGTTTTTTTAATTGATTTTTTAAGGTAGCGCGTTATGTCTATATAGGTTGTAAATAGATTTGTACATTTGGGCTGCGGAAGATGGTCGATTGCATTGGCAGTAATCAGAAGGTATGATCGTTAACCCCGTTTTGTTTTTGGATGCCTGTTCGATGTTATGCAACAGTCGAAGCAATTACTTAAAAAGTAACTTTTTAATAAATGTAGAAATATTACCCCATGTATCTATCTTCGGAATATTTATCAATGATCGCTTGCAGACCCATAATTCGGATTTCGATGTAGCAGATCTTTATTGCACCGATCATTAAGCGCTTTAGGCTACTTGCTTTAATTAGCCAATGCAAAGACTAAACATCTAAATCTTTTTTTTTAAAGATACGGGGTTCTCTTCAGCTGTAGAATCTGCTATCGATGAAATTGAGGAAGAGTTACGAGATATTAGCTTACGCGTATGTTCTTTTTTTTTTTTAACAATTGCGTAGAATTGCCGCGTATTATTTCGTGTTATTTGCGTTATTTATCTTTTCTTTCTTTCCACCGCGTTATACAGATTCATGCGCATCCTGAAACTGCAATGCGTGAGATATATGCACACGAAATATTAACTAAATTTTTAGAAAGCAAAGGCTTTACAGTAACCCCGAGTGCTTTTGGCCTGGAGACAGCTTTTGTCGCAGAGTATCATAACATGCCTGAAAGCAAATCACGAACTGTAGCATATATTTCCGAGTATGTAGTAATTTATGTCGGCAATAGTGTTGCTGCATAGTCATAATTTGTTACTAAAACTGCTTTTTATGTATTTGTAGATACGACGCGCTACCAGATATCGGTCATGGTTGTGGTAAGTGCTCAATCCAATGCGAATTCGTTAAAAACATTACACAATATGCTAAGATAATTTTTGTCTTTATGGTAATTCTTGATACATCACAGGACATAGTACGTATTAGTAGCTTGTAATTCACGTATAAGGCTGGTTGATGAACTTTAACTTCAGTCGGTCGTTCATCGTGAACTTATCCTATAACATTGAATTGCAGATCTGATTGCAATATCCGGAGTAGCTGCTGCATATGGTAAGGAAAATCTAGTATCGTACTTATGTCTTGTAGCGTGTATTAACGAAATTTGTCAAACAGGTACAATGTGTGCAATGCGAACATATAATGTTCTTGGGAAGGTCGTGCTCTTGGGGACGCCTGCTGAAGGTAGAATTAATGCTGTCGTTTGGAGCTAACTGGTACAGAGACTCAGTCTTATATGTTAAATAGAATCTATTGGTGGTAAAATAAAATTAATACATGCTGGAGCTTACAAGAAGATTGATGCGTGTCTTATGGTCCACCCAGCGTAAGTGTTAAGCAAATAGAGTTTTTTTTTCTAGTCTGTTCCCAATTGTTAACTTATATACATTCTGAAATTTGTACATTTAGGCATGCAAATGCGCTTTATGGTGGTTATTTGGCTCTTGCTAGTGTGCGCGTTGAATACAATGGCAGAGCCGCTCACGCAGCAGGTATGTTCACACGTTAGTTATGCTACACGAATAACCTGCTATTAACAACCAATTTATGTATCGATTAGCTGCACCATGGGAAGGTTAGTTAAAAATACTGGTCTTGTACAACGGTCATATGTAATGCGTTTTATTGATGGTCAGATGCATTTCAGGAGCAAATGCATTGGATGCAGTAGTGCTCGCATATAATGGCATCTCGATGCTTAGACAGCAAGTGCCTCCAACTACCAGGTATACCATGTCTACGAAAATTTTTATCCTTTTTTAATAGTTTAACCTAATGCTCCTCTTCCAAAATCGTAGGATACACGGGATAATCACTGATGGAGGGAAATCGCCAAACGGTAATTTCTGTATTCATTGCAAGCAACACCTTGGATTTTAATTATCGGCAGCGATTCTAGCGTTATTTGAAAACTGCCAGTGAAACCGATAATAACAGATTGATACCAGCAGTACAATAAGTAGTTTAAATAATTGCCAAGTAACTCTGAACAATTCATTTTATAGTCATACCCGATCATGCATCAGCACTATTCTTCATAAGAGCTGCAACTGGTCTTCAACTCATTGCATTGCGTCAAAAGATCACTGCATGCTTGGAATCAACTGGAATGGCTACGGGATGTTCGACGAAATTGACTTGGGAACAAGAATATTATGGTCCGTACAAATATTTGCTATTCTAATTGATACTTATCCTTCATAGATTGTTGAGTTATGAACTTGGAACATATTAGATGTACTTGTGAATGATCAGTTGGCTGAACGTTTCGGAAAATATATGACTGATCGCGGAGTGAAATACCTTCCAAAGGCTGAAGAGCTAAAAGTTACTAAAGC